GGCGTTCCAAGAATTCTATATGTATGCCATTATCTCCAGTTGCTCTGATCTTTGGTAAAGTCTTTATAATTTCTGAAATCTCCCTTTCCTCAGTCGTTACCAAGTTATCTCCATTATTTCATACAACTGGTTTTAAATTGATAGTGATAATAATAATAATAATGATAATAAAGTTAGTAATAACAACTTTAATAATAACAAGAATGACAGTGAAGATCATACTGATAACGATAATCATAATAATAATAACAATACTAACAATTATAATAATAATGGTATAACTACAACTAATATGGTAATCCCAATGAATTATATGTCAAGTCAACACCATTTCACAAAAATCAAATGAAGAAATAAATAGCAAATGTTCATCTAAAATTTATTGGTTACATGAAAATATTCTTAATGATAACATCAAAACAGTAGCATCACAGAATCCTATAGATTAATTATCTGTCCAAGAATCCCATTATGAAAAATAACACCATAAAATCAAAGCTTATAAATTCCGCCTGTATAAAATAACATAAAATACAAGCACGCGTATGTTAAGGATATAAAAATCCCACATTACATTCAGTGACTAAGGGATTATCACATGAGGGCAACTTTTCGTGTACTTTCCACAATCTATAAACAGCAATTTCATTTAACAAATCTCCACTCTGGATCTTCATTGTCCACCAAAACTGAGCAAGAATGGGGCTGGCCTCGTTCCCTTTGCCTACGCCTGGGCAGATGGGCGATAATCACTAACTTCCATGTTATTAGCCTTTATTATAATTCAGATAGTTATTTGAGAACCTCCGTGTGCTTGGACTTGTATTATTATGGTTAACTGTTTTTTGATAGAACAGCATATTTCTGCCTTTCTACGTTTGTATAGGCTAGATTAAATGACATTTTCGTGGACACGCAATAATCTGTACACATTTTTAGAAACTATAAGACAAACCTGTAGAATGTTTTACAAGTACGCGATAATTTGCTCTCGTGTCATATGGCCTTTACATGTGCTCTGAGTGAAGGATTCTTGATGAATAAGATGCAAATAAAACACGAGAAAAGTACCAGTAGAAATGTTTGCTATATTCCTTCAACGAGGCTAGAAAAAGTAATATAGCGAAGAGGTCTTCTGTATATTCGCGTGTTTTCTGATATTTTCCTACGTTGTTTTATGTACTACAGAGGCTCCGAACCACAACCAGCAACACGCAAACAAGTACACGGCCTCCCAGAGGGTGAGTAGGAGCAGGTATCACACAGACATGGTGGTAATATAATGTTCGGTCTAGCTGTCACTATCACAGTTTTTTCTCTATAGACTACTCTCGTTGTCGTAATGTACACCGGGAGTGTGACAGTTGCCCGTGGTGGGCAGCCATAGCCGGAGTAAGCAGACCGTTTGACAACGTTGCCCTCCATCCCTGGCCACAAAGATACATCGGTGACACCCAGCACTGGTTCTAAGGATTGCACTTCTCTCTTAGCCTGAACTTTGGAGTGTGATACCAGTGCCTCTCTTGTGGCACTGTCGACGTGGCCGACGAAGGAAGGTTGCAAGAAATGCGGAGTACCATAGGTTACGGCGCAAATTGCCACCCACACCACAGTCACTAGCAGGTTGTGTGATGTCATTTTCAGCGACACGGTCAGTTCGAATGAAACCTGAAACATGTGATAAATTATGAATTACAAATCTACATATATGTATATATATGCAGATGTAAAGAAATATAGATCGGTAGACGTATACCACAGTCGGCATAAAAGCATAAGTGTGTGCAAGCCAGTAGCTTGCAAAATGACGGCCCTCTCCCCCAAGCTAAGCGGTGGCCCGAGTGACGAGCTGGTCAGAACGCCTTCCGTCGCCATACCTTGAACACAACTAGCGAGTCCTTGGCCTCCAGGACTGTGCTCGGGCTCGCTACCACTCAAATACCGTCTACATAACCATCTGAATATATCACAGGGTGTTATAATCTGTTGCCGATAAAAAAGATAAGCTACACAACATGGAGTCCATAAAACAAATAGAGCTCTTACATATATATAAACATATATATGTATATACATATTTATATATATGCTTAATTATATATATATATATTTATATATATACATGTATATATATATACATATATCTGTATATACATATATACATATATCTATATATCTATAAATCTATATATATCTAGGAAAACCGCCACAATAAAAAAACGAATTAAATAGTAACATTTTAAACCCGTCAAGAGTTCCTTGTCAGACGCATAAATAACCGAAATGGATCCATCCATTTCGGTCACTTATCCGTCTCATGAGGAACTCTTGGCGATTTCCACTCATTACGATTTAATTCCATTCCATTTAATTCCATATATATGTACATATAAATGCGTGTGTGTGATATATATATATATATATAACATACATATATAAATACATATATATATTTATATATGTGTGTGTACGTGTGTAATATATACGTACATAAATACATATATATACATACATATATATGTATACATATATGTATATATGTTGTGGCCCCTATTCAACATTTTATTAAATGTTCTTCACTTATTATGTTAGATTAATAACTGTTTAAATGTTCTCACTAATTATAATGTAACTTTAAACAATCAATGACTTCAAAGTTATAATAATAATACTATTAATTATTACAGCTGAAACTTCGAGATAAATCTTTGTAAAGTCAATATATCTATTAACTGAATAATATAAATATAATATAATATGTTACAATACCAAAATTTATGTGAAAAAGAAATAGAATACATTGTTTGGGTTCTTGACTCTTTACATATAACTAGACAGTTATGACTCACTATTATATAATCCTCAATCATGAAACTTGATAAATATCAAATCAACAATATTCAAAACTACGTCATATCTTAATGAATCAAATATTATAAAACAAAATAGCGATCATTATAAAAACAATTAATTCATTACTCGATATCTCAAAGTTAATAAATTAAATAGATATTACACAAAATAATCATGATCACCAGAAAAGAAACTATTTGAATAAAAATAAAAACGCTCATTTTATTGTATAATATTTGTGTATATAAAATCCTATTACATAATGTAAACATCATATATATTAATGGAATAAAGTGTTTTAGATTTGAATTTGAATTGATAGACAAAAAATAATCAATCTTGCACTCCGTCGGAAGACAAGACTCGTCACTGCCTACACACTTAAACTAACCTATCGATTCTCATTAACCATTAAAAAAAGATATATCTAACATAATATTGATATATGACCTTGACGTCTAGTACATTTATTTATTTTGTTTTATTACATGTTCATAAAAAATCATTTTCTTCCTAATCCTATGTTCCAAAATAGCACTTTCATGTTACTGTCTTCCATTTCTAATTCCTGCCACCATGTTCCATCACAATGCAACACCAAAACACTTCAAACGGACTTACTGAGTTGAACATGGATGCTGGACGCTACTCCGTGACCTAATCCATATTCTCCTTTTATTTTCGACATGGAACTCATCCACTCACGCCCTTGCTGGTTATCACTAAATCATTCCTTATAGTTGGAAAGATACCCGCATCAGGATTTTTCTATGGCCCAGCACATTTTTAACACTGAAACATATCGCTTCTAAATTGTTCTAAGTGCCACCCGAGTTCATTTCTTGTTCCCAGAGTGATACATTATGATATATTTTAGAACTGCATGTTGTTTCACACTCGTGATTTCTAATTGCTTCTGCGGGTCCATCACGTGGTGTTACGCTCTGTCACATGAGGATTTCACTACTTTGGGCCAGATGGCGTTTTTTTTTTGTTTTGTTTTGTTTTTTTCTGTGTCTTGTCCTGGTGACCAGCTTGTGTTTCGCCTGGTCATATGGCATCCGCTTCGCTAGATATATAATGTCGTAGACACTCAAAGGCTTAATCATATATGTATATGATATATGTATATATGTAGATGTACACACGTGTATATATGTATGTAGATCTATATATGTATATATATATATATATATATATATATATATATATATGCGTATTTATGAATGTATGTATGTAATATGTATGTATGTATAAGCAGTCACGAAGAATAATGTGATAATGAGAGTGAGAATATGTTAAAAAGGAAGAGAAAGAGAGCAAGACAAAGATTTACCCCCTCAACATATGCAGAAAAAACTAGTTATATGTTTACTCTGTGGTTCAGTTGCCAGTGGTAAGAAATATGTACTTTTATTATCTCTTTTGTCTACTTTTATTTCTTTGTGTATTTGAAAATAGTCATTGGGAATAAATAAATCGATTAGTGTTTTTAAACATGTGTTTACGTCACATGCACTGGTATGATATCAATAATGGTAATAATGATAATGATCATAATATTGATAATGACGATAATAATCATAATGATAACAACAGTAATAATAATAATGAAAATAATAATGATGATAATGATAATAATAAGAATAATTATAATAATAAGGATAATGATAATAATAAGGATAATATAATTAACAATAGTAATAATAATAATAATTATAACAATAATGATAATAATAATAACAATAACAAGTAATATTATAGTAATACTAATAATTATAAAAATAATAATGATAATGACAATAATAGCAGTCGTTGTAATAATTACAGTGAATAACAGTTATGACAAAATGAGCATTAAGAAAAGCATTATTTTTAGATTTTTGTTATGCAAATCGGATCAAAACATATTCGATACATATATCGATTGATATATACAGGTAATTAAGGACAGACACAAAGAATAGTGTGTATATGTGTGTATGTGTGTGTGTGTGCGTGTGTATGTGCGTGTGTATGTATATATATATATATATATATATATATATATATATATATATATATATTTGAAGTGTACTTTTAAGTGTGACCTTATAAAAATTATAAACACTGTCATTTAAACAGTCAAATAACAGATCGCCACATACCTTTGCCTCAATCAACAGAACAACTCGAAGGGATGGTACAGACTGCACGGCAAGAGTGGTAGTTGTCAGACGACTAGCCTTTAGCAGGGTCCACCTATGCGAAATCTCGCTGCCAGTTAGCCTCTCCCATGGTAGCAAAAAAAACAGTAGCTATTAACTAACTGCATTTATGGAATCCTATTGTATATTCATTGCTACGCTATGTGGGAAGTGAAGGGAAAAATATGAAACGACTGATATCAGCGTGCTAAGAAGTTATTCTAATCAGAAATATTATGATCCAAGCGGAAACTCAGGTATTGACGCCGGGACAGTGTCCTTGCTGGTCAGACTAGAATTACTGATGAGACGTCCTTGCTAACATAAACCATCAAATATACACGTTAGATTCAAATATTTAACTCATAAAACTTTCTAAGTATGTTTATTTTTAGGGAAATATCACGTATACATTTGTTAGTATTTGAAACGTATGAGGAAGTACATGTTACATAAGCAGTGGGAATCCTCAAGGTTACCGTGTCTTCCACACGCACATTCAAGCATTTCTTACGGGTATAGTATTACATTTTTACGCGGCAGAATTGTGCTTGGCAATACTAACCAAGATATTAGTAATAATGATACTACTAATGGCGAACATTATATTAAAGATGATATTTATGATGATAATGACACTAATGATTATAATATAGGCGATAGTAACTATGATAATGCTATAAATGATAGTAATGATTATAATGATAGCAATAATCAAAATGGCAATGATAATAAGGTTGATAAAAAGAAACTTGAGGAGAATGACGATGATATTCATGATTGTTAGTAATATTGATACTATTTTTATTCCCCATTATTATCATTATTACTACTACGACTACTACCATCATTATTACTTATATTATCATTACTATTATTATCATTATTAACACACATTAACACACATACACACACACACGCACACGCGCACACATACACACACATGCATACACACACACACTCACATACACACGTGGACACGCGCACACACACACGCACGCACATACACACACACATATACGCACGCACACACACACTCACACACACATGTGTGTGCATACGCGCACATATACACACACACGCACACACACACTCACGCATACACACAAACGAACACGCGCACACATAAACTCACACGCACACAGTCACACACACGCACATACACGCACGCACACACACATACACGCACGTACACACACACACGCACACACATACACACACACAGACACTCACACATACACACATTCACGCACGCACACACACACACACATACACACACACACACATACACACACACACACATACACGCACTCACACATAGATACACATGTATACTCCATAAATATATCACTGCATAATCTATTTCCAGATGAAAATGATAGAAAAGTAATCAGTAACAAATTGATTGCATAAAAAATATATCACTAATATATATATATACATATATATATATATATATATGTATACATATATGCATACATATATATATATGTATACGCACACACACACACACACACACACACACACACACACACACACACACATATATATATATATATATATATATATATATATATATATATATATATATATGTATGTATGTATACATAAATATGTATATATACATATATGTATACATATGAATAAATATGTGTCCAAATATTTGTATCTATGTATATATGCATGTGTGGGTGTATTGTAAGGTATACTCCTAGCTCAAGGCCAGGTTCCATCCGTACAGAGGAGCCCGAATTAAAATCTCCCGTGAGACAGGAGAGGTTTAGGGTGAAAATTGAAGTTCCGTCACTCCTCTTGCAATGCGACAGTAATGATCTAGTATTGTTGCTTTTATCGTTCTTAGTGTCCTTTCACTGTAGTGATAGTAGTAATAGTAGTAGCCATAGCAGTAGTGATAATAGTAGTGGTAGCACGAGCAATAGCAATAGTGGTAGCACGAGCAATACAGTAGTAGTGGTAGCACGAGCAATAGTAGTAGTGGTAGCACGAGCAATAGTAGTAGTGGTAGCACGAGCAATAGTAGTAGTGGTAGCACGAGCAATAGCAGTAGTAGTGGTAGCACGAGCAATAGCAGTAGTAGTGATAGCACGAGCAATAGCAGTAGTGGTAGCACGAGCAATAGCAGTAGTAGTGATAGCACGAGCAATAGCAGTAGTGGTAGCACGAGCGGTAGGCACAGAAGCGTGGTAGAAATAGTCGGGAGCAAACGTAACAGGGGTAAACATAAGATACCGATAGCTCAGTAAAAGTATTAAAAGTATGGTAAAAGCAAAGTAAAAGAATCAGTAAAAAGATCAGTAAAAGAGTAAAAGTATAGTAAAAAGTCAGTAAAGGTATGGTAAAAGCAGAGTAAAAAAAGGATCAGTAAAAGTATAGTAAAAATATGGGTAAGAAAAGTAAATGTTCAGTAAAAATAACCGTAAATAAAAGGCAAACACTTGATACATATATCCACACAAAAAAATTAAGAAAGGTAAAATGAAAAGTAAAAACAAAGAACTAGTATTTAAAATGAGCATCACTGGATTTAGGCTTTACGTTATTTGAACTCATCTATGTAAAATATGTGAATTGCCTTCAATATGCTTAACACGTCCAGCAAAAAAAAAAACAGTACAACCATTGATGTAGATTCGCAGCGAAAGAGGGATGTGACACAAACAAAGTTCCAGTTGACACTTTATTCTTTGCGTTACCGGGAACTCGAGAACTCGTGACGTCACAACATAGTGAATCATTTTTTCTTAATAAAAACAAATAAAATCAATTAAAATACATAATGTCATGGAAATGATACATACAACAAAAAAATACCAAAAACATTAATAAAAAGCCATAAAAACGTGAACTGAAAGAGTTTAAGAATAAACTAAACCATACTAAAATCATAAAACAGTAAGATTAAAACTTGTGAATTTGAAAAAAAAAACATTCATTAATAAATTAAGATGACAAAAGAGATCATTACTGCAAGATAAAATCATTAATTTTTAAAAAAGTCGTGTCACGTCACGAACTGAGAAATCGTTAAAAAAAATTGGTAGCCGTAAAACACGACCTTAAAATAATACAAAACGAAATAAAATACAAATCAGACACATGAACTAAAACTAGATACAATAAAACAAACAAATACAATTAATAAAAATAAAAGCGAAAAAAAATAAAAGAAAACGGGATGGGGGTTGAACTATAAGAATCACGCGCAGGTGGTACAGGGATGTACAGGTGTGTATGTGGAGTGAACTGGAGTGCCACGCCCCCTCTCGGTGAATGGTACATTCCACAGAATATATATATGTGTGTGTATATGTATGTATGTATATATGTATATGTGTGCGTGTATGTAAATATAGAACTGACGGTTATTTATCCGTCAGACGAGGAACTCTTGACGGGTTTAAAACGTTTTTTATTGTGGCGGTTTTCCTATTCATACACACACACACACAAACACACACACACACACACATACACACACACACACACATATATATATATATATAGATAGATAGATAGATAGATAGATAGATAGATAGATATATAGATAGATAGGTAGACAAATATAGATATATAGATATATGTATATACAGATATATATGAATATATATATAAACATATATATGCATATATATAAGTATATATATAATTAAGCATATATATAAACATGTATAGAAATATATATATATATATATATATATATATATATATATATATAAACATATATATGCATATATATAAGTATATATATAATTAAGCATATATATAAACATGTATAGAAATATATATATATAAACATATATGTTTATATATATGTAAGAGCTCTATTTGTTTTATGGACTCTATGTAACAATGATAGAGTTGTATAGCTTATCTTTTTATCGGCAACAGATTATAACACCCTGTGATATATTCAGGTTATGTAGACGGTATTTGAGTGGTAGCGAGGCCGAGCACAGTCCAGGAGGCCAAGGACTCGCTAGTTGTGTTCAAGGTATGGCGACGGAAGGCGTTCTGACCAGCTCAAGTCACATGGGCCATCGCTTATCTTGGGGGAGAGGGCCGCCATTTTGCAAGCTAATGGCTTGCACACAATTCTGCATTTATGCCGACTGTGGTGTACGTCTACCTATCTATATATTTATTTACATCTGCATAAATATACATATATGTAGATTTGTAATTCATAATTTATCACATGTTCCAGGTTTCATTCGAAGTGACGGTCTTGCTTAAAATGACATCGCGCTACCTGCTAGTAGCATCATCCTAATTATTGCCATTTTGATTATTGCTATCATTATAATCATTACTATTATTTATGGCATTATAATACTTACTATCGCCTATATTATAGTCATTAGATTCATTATCATCTTAAACATCATGTTTAATATAATGATCGTCATTATTAGTATCATTATTACTAATATCTTGGTAAGTATTACCAAGCACAATTCTGTCGCATAAAAATAAATACTTTACCCGTAAGAAATGTTTGAATGTGTGTGTGGAAGACACGGTAACTTTCAGAATTCCCACTGCTTATGTAACATAATGTACTTCCTCATACGTTTCAAATACTAACAAATGTATACATGATATTTCCCTTAAAAATACACATACTTAGAAGTTTTTTGAGGCAAATATTTGAATCTAAAGTGTATATTTGATGGTTTATGTTAGCAAGGACGTCTCATCAGTAATTCTAGTCTGGCCAGCAAGGGCACTGACCCGGCGTCAACAACGGAGTTTCCGCTTGGATCATAATATTTCTGATTAGAATAACTTTTTAGCACGCTGATATCAGTCATTTCATATTTTCCCTTCACCTCCCACATAGCGTAGAAATGAATATACAATAGGATTCCATAAATGCAGTTAGTAAATAGTTACTGACTTTTTGCTACCATGGGAGAGGCTAACTGGCAGCGAGATTTTGTACGCGTTGAGCTTGTAAAAGGCTAGTCATCTGACAACTACCGCTCTTGCCGTGCACTCTGCATCATCTCTTCGAATTGTTCAGTTGTTTGAGGCAAA